AGAGTCTTTAGCTTGTTCCAGAGACACTCCCTTGATTTTCAGAAAGCCTCTGGAAATATAGCAAGGCAACAGTGGGAGACTCTGATACTCGCAGGCTCTGGTCTTTATTCTCATATTCATAATGGGATGGGGAAGGGGGTTAAAGAGATAGGATGCCACTTTGTAGAAAGTAGGAAGGAAGGACGATCCAATTTAGTGGGTTCTCACTATACCTTTGGGATTAAGTTTTTGGTGATGATTATCTTGTTTGCAGCCTTATGTTGATGTTTCTTTCCAGAGAATGAGAGAAGAAAAAAGAGAAGAAAGAAGGAGACGAGAAATAGAAAGGAAAAGACAAAGAGAAGAAGAGAGGAGGAAATGGAAAGAAGAAGAAAAACGAAAAAGGAAAGATATAGAAAAGCTAAAGAAGATAGACCGAGTTCCAGAAAGGGAAAAAATAAAGGATGAACCAAAGATTAAGGTATGGAAAATCACTTAAATAGACTGCATGTTGCTAAAAATTGCATGTATCTACTTCTTTAAATATGCATGCATCTTGTGTTGGTGTAAATACAATTTTTTGGTTTTGTTGTCTTTTTTGGGGGGGAGGTGAACCAATAGGAATCTTTACTATAATGCTAATAGTATTATTTTTTAAAATTCTTGATAATTTAAACAGATTACATAACTTACATATTTCTTCAGTGAATATCTGCGTTATTTTTATCATTGAGAATGTTCAATGTTTGGATTATTATTCTCTCAGTTCTTCATAAGTAAGGGCTTAGGGCTGGCTGGCATGAATTATGGGTTTTATGCAGCTTTTCCTTCATATTTGATACATGAAGTTGCCTCATCTGTTTGTTTTCCACTGTCTTCAGGTACACAGGTTTCTGTTACAAGCTGTGAATCAGAAAAATGTAAGGACCAAGTACATGATACAGAGCACCTAGTATCATGTCACACACACAGGTCTTAGTTAATAATAAGTCCTTTCGGTGGTGGTGGTAGTGATACCTGTAGAAAACTCCTTCAGACTGACTTGAGTCTTATTAAAATCTGAGCCATTTTAAATTCCTACTTTAGAAGGAAGCCCAGATGACTTCCTGATGCTCTGCTGGGTACCCAGAAGCTTCAACAGTATACAGCTAGAGGATAACTGTGCCTAAATAGCTCTTTCTCTTCCTGTGCCTCTCCTAACGGGCTGCCTTATGGGAATATTAGGGATAAATATCCTGTATCCCATGCTTCCCCTCTCACATGATTCTCCCTACCTTCTCTCATCTACCTGGGAATCTGTGAGCGGCAGATTCTGATTAACACACTGCATGTAGGAAGAGGAAAACTTGTAGAAAAATCCCAGCCTTACTGCTTCCCTTCTGAGGGCATGGCTTAGGCAGCTTCTGCTCCCACAAACCTCTTGGGGAAGTACTAGTACCTAGTACTTCAGAGAAAGTCAGAAAAAAATCTCACAGAAATGGTGGCAGGGTCTCCTTTTACCTCCTCAAAATTAAGCACTTTACGTGGCCAGGGCCTGTTCCCCCAAGGCTCTCCCGGGCTCATTATTGGCGATAAGGAGCTTGGTAGTGGGGTGGAAAGGTTCCCATCTTAATTCCTTCTAGTGATCTCTCTCTCTGCCATGCCACAAGTGACCTGACTGGCTATTCCTATCAGCAAGGCAGAAGGTAGAGCCAGCCATACTAGAAACATGCACTAATGTTCTTAATAGAGTAATGAACATCCTGGCTTCCAACAAAGATGTTCATTAGAAAAAAACACTTCCAGTGAAACCTGCCTCACTTTACATTGGTGCCTCCTCAGTGTCCAGTCTGGACTCGCCATTTGCAGTGGCTGTGTGCTGAAATACTTCATGCTTAAGTCTTGTGGTGCTTTGCCTTTTGCTTGGTGACTTGTGTGATGCCTTCACCCTGAGATGAAACTTTGTATGATGCCTTCACTCTGAGACTTGAAATTCTTCTATTTTGCCTAAGAATCTCTCTGAATATCCAACGCTTGGGGGTATTCTAGAGAGGTTTGTGGCAGTGGTGACAAACTATTTTGATAGCAATTTGGACTTTATAAAGCACGTTTATTTTAGAATTCCATTCTGTCATATATATGTGTGTATCTCATATATATGTATATATATGTATGTGTGTATACATATATATATGTGTATATACATAGTGACATTGAGCAGAGTTCCTACTCAGTAGAGATGGAACTTCACTGTTCTGTGAGGTATTTGGATTTTTAAATCAAATAATGAAAACTGTGATTGTACCATCATAAGTGTGTTATTCTCAGGCTCAAGGCAAAGTTATTCTTGCAATGGATCTCTCCTTTGGTGACAAAGGTATTTGTCATTCCAAGTACTACAAGAAAACGGTCCAACAGTAATCTGCCTAGAATTTTAAATTGTGGCCAATTTTCTCATCAAGTTATATCAGTATGCTAGTTGGCTACAGAAGGCGTACTTGGAAGTGGGCACTGGTTCACTGAAAGGTTGACCCATCTAAAGCCAAAGGAGTCTTGATCCTGTTGCCACAAGTGACTAAACCACTTTGAGTGGATAACACTTTCACATTAATAGCATCCTTTTAGTCAATCACTGCTCTTGTGCACTATTCACCTGTAAGTTGAAGAGTACCTGCAGAAAGAGGCCTTCTACAGCCTAGATTTAAAATATTTAGTATATTGTTTTCTTTATAGAATCAGAAGAGAATGTCCCACCCTTCAAAATAATAAATTTGTTCTCTTTAAAGCTACTCAAGAAGCCAGAAAAGGGAGACGAAAAAGAATTAGATAAAAGAGAAAAAGCAAAGAAACTGGACAAAGAGAATCTGAATGATGAAAGAGCCAGTGGGCAGAGCTGTACACTGCCCAAGCGCTCTGATGGTGAACCTAAAGATGAAAAGCCTAAGAGGTCGGTAGCTGAGGGCTCTTTGGTACACTTGTTTTCAACATGTTTCTACGTGCTACTTTTCCTGCCCTGTCCTGGACGCGTGCCTGAATTATGAGGGGTGGGGGGATGAGGAGGAAAGGTTTCAAATACTCTAGCATCTTAACCTGGGTGAATGACTTCTGGTGTGCACTTTTTGGTTTGTTTGTTTTTTTTTTTTGTTTTTTTTTTTTTTACTGGTTTTCAAAACGCTAGTAGTTTTTGACTCGGCTCCAACAGTGCCGCCTCACTGTAGCAGCCAGGTGCTAATCAGAGCACTGGTGCGTGTGCGACTAGATGGGCTCTGAGGGCCCGCTCAGCTCTGTTTCCCACGCAGGCCCGAAGAGGAGAGTGGCAGAGACTACCGCGAGCGGGAGCGGGACTACGAGCGAGACCCGGAGCGCGTCCTGCGGGAGAGGGAGAGGCTGAAGCGGCAGGAGGAGGAGCGCCGCAGGCAGAAGGAGCGCTACGAGAAGGAGAAGGCTTTTAAAAGGAAGGAGGAAGAGCTGAAGAAAGAGAAAGAAGCGGTCCGGGATAAAGGAAAGAAGACTGAAAGTACAGAAGCAGTAGGCGGCTCCGAAAAAACTGAAAAGAAAGAGGAAGTGGTTAAGAGAGATCGCATAAGAAACAAGGTGCTGCTTTTCGTTCTGTTTTCGTGAGGACTTTTTTTCCCCCCTGCAAGTGTAAAGGAAAGGGCTAGCTCCCCGTTTATGACAGACTTTGTAAAGGGCAAGTTGAACTGTCTGCAACTTTTTTTCAGTCTCGGTTGGGTCCTTTCATTAACATTGTGGAAATTTCAAAAGGACACAAAAGTAGAACAGAGTTTTTAAAGATAGATAGATAGATAGATAGTTAGATTTATTTATTCGAGAGAGAGTGAGCACAAGCAGGAGGGGCAGAGGGAGAGGGAGAGAGAATCTCAAGTAGACGCCACACTGAGTGCAGAGCCCGATGCGGGGCTCGATCTCACAACCCGGAGATCTGGACCTGGGCTGAAATCAAGAGTCAGACGCTTAACTGACTGCGCCACCCAGGCGCCCCTGGATTATTTTTAAGCAAATCCTAGACATACCATCTTCTTTAAATACATCAATATTAGAGACAGATTCTTTTTTTTTTTTAAGATTTTACTTATTCTTTTGAGAGAGAGAGAGAGAGAGAGCACAAGCAGGGGGAGAGGCAGGGGGAGAGGAAGAAGGAGGCTCCCCGCAGAGCAGGGAGCCCGATGTGGGACTCGATCCCAGGACCCTGAGACCATGACCTGAGCCGAAGGCAGATGCTTAACCATCTGAGCTACCCAGGCGCCCCAGATTCTTTTTCTTAATACAACCCCAATAGCATTTTCATACCCCCCCAAAAAACCCTAATAATAATTCCTTAATGCCCTACCTTCTGTGTTGTTTTTTGCAATTGTCTCACTAATAACTTCTTTATAGGCTCTAAACATGGTCTTGTATCCTTAAGTGTCTTTTAATCTAAACAATCCCCCCTTCTTTCGTTATCCTGCCATTTATTTGCTACAGAAACCTGTAGTTTGTCCTGAGGAGCTATCGGCTCTAAATTGGTTGGGCTAATTATATCCCTGTGGTACCATTTAACATGTTTCTCTATCTTCTCTGTTTCTTTGAAAACTAGTAGTTATACCTAGGGCAGGGGTCAGCAGATTTTTTCTGTAAAGGGCCAGATGGTAAATATTTTAGGCCTTGTGGGCCATATGGTCTCTATTAGAACCACTAAGCTCTGAAGGAAAGCAGGCATAAATATGTAAAAGAATGAGTATGGCTGTGGGCCAATCAGACTTTATTCATAAAAACAGGTGGCTCCTCACCTACAGGCCTGAATATATTCAGGCTCAATTTTTGGCAAAAATACTTCATAGATTGGGGCACCTGGGTGGCTCAGTCAGTTGAGCGTCTGACTCTTGATTTCAGCTTGGGTCATGATCTCAGGGTCGTGGGTTTAGGCCCCACCATCAGGCTCTGCGCTTAGTGGAGTCTGCTTCTCTCCCTGCCCCTCCCCATGTACTGTCTCTCTCTCAAATAAATAAATAAATCTTAAAAAACAAAGAATACTTCATAGATAGAGGGGCGCCTGACTGGCTTAGTCAGTAGAGCATGCGACTCTTAATCTCAGGGTTGTGAGTTCAAGCCCCACATTGGGTGTAGAGATTACTTAAAAATAAAATCTTAAAAAGAGAATACTTCGAAGATTGTGTTGTGTACTTCCTATTGCATCATATCAGGAGGCATGGGACATAAAAGGGTGTCTTTCTAGTGTAATGTTCTGATCAATAGCAATTGTATTGTGGTTATGGAACAGGATGTCCTTGTTTTTCGGATATACAAGGTGAAATATTTAGGGATGAAAGGTCATGATGTCTGCAACTTACATTTCTATAGATTTAAAATTTCTCAAGGTGATAAAGTTGAAAAAACCATTGATCAGTAGGTTCAGGTATTGTAAGCCTGATCCATCTACTATAAAACATTTTTAGCCTGAAATTCAGTTTATATAGGAAAGGCGGGATAAACACTTTCCCTTTATGTACCAGCATTCAGAGTAATGAGTTGGTATCCCAGCCGCTTCTAGGTAATCAGTGTTTTGTTTTGTCTGTAATAATTTGTGGATTTAGAAATATTTGGTGTATTCCAACTTGTTATTATCAGTTATTGTCCTTGTTGAGGTTTACATTGTCCCATCTTTGCACAGTGGGAGCCCCATCATCCATTTCTTTAAATACTATGCAGGAATCTTACCTGTTTCAACATTTTGTCTTATAAAAATAGTGAAACATTTTGCTGGAATTATTCAGTTGAGAATAATGCTTTAAGGCTAACTTTTTTTTTTTAAGATTTTATTTATTTATTTGAGAGAGAATGAGAGATAGAGAGCACGAGAGGGAAGAAGGTCAGAGGGAGAAGCAGACTCCCTGCTGAGCAGGGGGCCCGATGCGGGACTCGATCCCGGGACTCCAGGATCATGACCTGAGCCGAAGGCAGTCGCCCAACCAACTGAGCCACCCAGGCGCCCTACGGCTAACTTTCATACACTAGGGAGAAAGAGTCAGGAAGGCTCATGTAATTTTTTGTTGAATTCTAAAAAGGGCCTATACATCTAAGTTTTCCAGGATCATACTGTCATAAACCACACACGTTACTTGAACTGAGAGGTACGTGATGACTTTAATTGGGGCTTATTTAGGAATCTGAGATCTAAAATGCCACCTAGAGAGTCTCAGGCTGGGGTGTTAAGTTGCCATACATGAATTAAGAAATAATCATGTTTGTGGCAAGTTGCATGGGGTCTGAGCTCGTAATTTCAGGGAGGTCTCCACTTAAGACTTTGCATTCTTTATTTACTATTTTTTTTTTAAAGATTTTATTTATTCATTTGACAGAGAGAGAGCACAAGTAGGCAGAGTGGCAGGGAGAGGGAGAAGCAGGCTCTCCGCTGAGTGGAGAGCCGGACGCGGGGCTGGATCCCAGGACCCAGGGATAATGACCTGAGCCAAAGGCAGCCGCTTAACCGACTGAGCCATCCAGGCGCCCCTCTTTATTTACTATTTTACTCCAAAAATTTTCTTACGTGGCAGCGAATGTTAAAGTCAATTTAGTGATGGGGAAGAGAGACAGGCAATGGCTGAGGTTTTGAAGTAAAGGAAATTCAAGCTAATTCAGTTCATCTTGAAATGGTTAAGAAAATTACTGAAAACGTACCGTAGGCTTAGAAAATAATACTTACAAAATGGTTGCTTTTATTTGGAGATAGGGGAAAGGAAGTGGGCAGTTAAGAGGCAAGTTAACCATCAGCACTGTCAGGGACTGTGCCCTCACATTTTTGATCTCGTAGGAGTTGTTTTTGGTATATATCAATACACAACGTATGACTCTGAAAATCCCCTGTAAATGTTTAGTAGCAGTGTTGTAACATTAACATTTAATTTTATTTTAGGATCGCCCAGCAATGCAGCTTTACCAACCAGGAGCTCGAAGCCGAAATCGACTCTGTCCGCCTGATGACAGCACCAAGTCTGGAGATTCAGCAATAGAAAAAAAGCAGGAAAGTGGTATTAGCCATAGAAAAGAAGGAGGAGAGGAGTGATAAGTCCAAAAGGCCTTAGGTGTCCTGACTGTCTAGGCAGCCAAAGAGCATGTATTAAGCAATCCAGAAGTGCCTTCAGGGCAAAGGAGTAGAGAGAGAGAAAGGGGATCGCTGTGCTGGTGGGGTACACTGCAGAGGAGTATGTTTTTTTCTTTGCGTCAAAGCAGGAACCTGATCGCAGGTTCAGGTTGGAAGTTCAATTTCATTTTTTATGCAGTTCCTACAAATTAATTTTCAAGTGTCAGACAAAGATGAGGGAGAGGACATGCATTGCAGTTTGCAGGCAGGAAAGGTCCGGTGAGGACTTAATTAGGTATGACATGAGAAGGGGGAAAAAAAAAGACAGCTGGTTCTAAAAGCAAGGTTTTGTTAAATCCTGGATTGAATTTTCTTAATTTGAGTGGAACAGAGTCACTGTGAAGTCTTGTTCAGATCTAGTTACATTCATTGTTGATGATAACTGTTGACTTTGTGTAGTGTAGATGCAACAAGCATGTAATTGTAGTACAAGGACAGTGGAGGATATAACAAATTTTCGTCTGTACAAAAATTTAAAGTCATGTCGTGTCTATATCCTGTGTCCTAAAATTTTAGGATTTAGTTTTTTGTTTGCTTACGTGAGCTTAGCATAAAGAGTATTTTTAAACATCTCCTTTTGCCTTTAGCAGTTTTTATATTAATAAGTAAAATTTAACCCTTGTTTGTTTCTTGACAATCCAGTCTTTGTTTTAATCTTAGGTCTCATGATCTGAGTGCATACCCTCTCCAGGAAGGAAACCGTATCAATATTTGTTCCTGTCAAATAGCAACTTTTAGTCCTGGCTTGTTTTGCATTGATGTCAATAAATATCAACATCACTCAAGTGTGAAGCCAAGTGTATTTATTAACTTTACTAAATTAGCTATTCATTTTGAGACATTAAACTTTTGATACTGAATTAACCCCTTGGGTATTTTGAAAGGGGAGGAAGGATGCTTATTTCTGCCTTCACTAGCATTATTTTATTTTGCCCACCAAGATCAAATCATGGTTCACTACTCTTGTTCCACAAGAACCAAAATGTGTGGACAACATCCTTGAGCTGCTGCTTAATATTCATCCTGACAGCTTCTCCTAATGTGGCGTCAGTCTGCCTTTACTTAATAAGCCACTGCTTTAGTTTTACTCAGCTTTTAGAAACCGGTATCCCAAGAGGCAGGTGAAGAGGACTGAAGATGACTAAAAGAATGGTCCTCAACTGGGAGAGAGGACTAAAATACAGGAAGGGAAAATTTCAAAGAGAATGGCTGGCAGTGGTCTGTGCCACAGAGCGGTCAGGGAAGCTGAGATGCGCTCACCGGGCTTGGCAGCACTGAGGTCAGTAGTGAATTGCCGAGGCAGCAGAAACCATGTTACGGTGAGGGGTGAGTGGCGGGTAGGAAATGCAGATGGGGCAGCTGGATAATTGGACCTTGGAGCTCAGAGAAGAGATCTGGGCTGGAGATAGAGATTTGGAATTCATCTAGTTCTAGGTGATCATTGAAGCCATGGGTCTAGATTTAGTCACTTAGGGAAAGAGAGTGAAGAAAGAACAAGCAGACCTAGGGCCCAGCCTTGAGGAACCCTAAGGTTACAGGTGAGGAAAGTATCTACAAAGACAGAAAAGGAGGAGCCAGAGAGTAGGTGGGAAACCAGAAGACTCCGACATTCCCTAACCCAGGAGAAAAGACTGAAGAAGGCGAAGGAAGTGGCCATTAGGGTTGGATGCTGCTGGAAGGTCAAGTGTGATGCTCAAATAAAGGCCACAGGTTTCAGTGACTTAAAATCTCTGATGACCTGGAATCCTAGGGCGTGGAAGCCAGACTGAGGTTGAGAATGGAAACAGCACAGAGAGAAGTTTGGCAGTGAGAGAATGAAGACCGGTGAATGGTGGTGATATGAAGGATTGTTTTAAATAGAACTACTAAAGCCTGCTTGGAAGCTGAAAGGAAAGCTCTGAGAGGCCCCAGGGGAAGCAATCATCAGTAGCGTAGGTCTCCCGGGAAGGCAGGCGAAAGCGGGGCAGCACAGGGGACAGCAGGCCTGCGGAGAAGTGGAGAGGCGACGCTCCGCAGCCCGCAGCCCTGAGCTGATAGCGCCTGCCTCCCTCCCCAGCCTGGGACCCACAGCCAGCCCTCTCTGGGCTGTTTGCCCATCGGCACCTCCCTCGTTCGTTCTGCTTGCCTTGCCAGTCCGACTCGGTAACCACACTTCCCTGCACCCCTTATATTTTTTCCATTTACGTTCATTTTAGCCAACATTTACTAATCACTGACGGTGTGCCAGGCCCCGGGGCGGGGGTGGGTGTCAAGGACTCAAGTCGCTGTCTTTGAGAAACCATGGTCTAGTGGTGGCAAGAAACAACTAGAAATAACCAGAGCACGGTGCCCCGTTGTGAGCAGGGCTATGATGGCCTGGCCGGGTGTGGGAGTCTCCCGCCCCTAAGCTGCCAAGTGTTGCTGGAGAAAATCCCAAAAGAAGATCGGCTGCTGAGACTACAGGCGGGCCCTCCGTCCTGCTGAGCAATTTAAAACATCCATGCTCACTTCCTTTTCCACAGGGCCGCCTTGCTTTCCCTAGTTGGCTCCCCTTCCTCCTAACTCATCCTTTCATGGTCTTAGTGAAAACCAACTGCTGTAAACAATGCAAAAGTAAGCATTCATTCCATTTTTGCCTACTTCAGACAAAGGTTTGGTTTGTTTGGGAACAACGACAGGATGGAGACAGCTGAGACGTGGGGTATCGGAACATTCGCTGAGCATCTCGTGTGTGCTGGCACCAACACTGTGGTAGTGAACAAGGTCCCTGCCCTCACGATACTCACAGCCGTGCGGAGCTAGCTGCTCTGGTGGACAGTGACACTAAGGGAAGCAGGCAGGAAAAATTCAAGGGGCGAGGGCAGTGGAATTCGGTCCCTTCAGGGCAGTGACAAACAGATGGCTTTGGGCATTCAGGCCTTCAAAAACAGAAA